GTATTTTTTTTTTTTTTTTTGGAGAGGTTTTCGCTATAGGGCATGTGCGCTCACCAGACAGATAGAAAGAGACATAGAGACAGAAAGCGAGAAATCACCCCCCAGGGGGAATGGTCACGCCGCAATCCCTTCTCCTCCATTCTCCTCTTGGGATCTTGGGTACACACGCACATGCGCCCAGCATGAGTTTTAAGCCACTGGGTCCAGGACGCGAACCCACCTCCGTGGGAGTCCAGTGACATAGCCATTACGCTAACTGCTGGTTCCCTCCTTTCAGGATCTTGGGCATGCACGCACACATGCCCGGCGTGAGTTTAAGCCACCGGGTTCAGGACTCGAATTGCTGTCAACTACATGGGAGTCCAGCGACATAGCCATTATGCTAAGTGCTGGTCCCTTATTCCTAACTATATTCTTAGAGTCCCTGTCTCCTACCTCACCCAGATACCCTTTTTCAAACATTAACGGGACCTCATTTCTCCACTGATATTGGCAGGTGTCTCTTCCCACCTCACTGTCTTCAAGATCTCCTCAATTCCAGGTCATCATCTCTTGTTCTCTCTTTAAAGAACTTGCCCTATCCACTTTTTGAATCCCTCTACCCAATAATGTTCAGAGCCCTAAACCCTCCTGGGGTTCCAAAATCTCCAAGGGTTCCCCCACCCTGCCCCACTCCATCATATCCCTCCAGCTCTAAAGTGGGAACCAATTTAGGCAAACGGTCACTGCAAATTTAGTGAGAGTTTACTATATTGCAAAGGGCTGTTGAAGGTTTGCAGAAATTCCCTGGTAAACTTGGGTTCCAGTTCTGCCTCCCTATTTTTAATTTCAGATCTCGGACAGTTCCAAATTTCTCTGGGCCTCAACTTCCACTTCCTTCCTTTCTTTCTTTTCTTTTCTTTTTTTTTTTTTCTTTTTCTTATTCTTTTTTTTTTTTTTGAGAGTTTTTTTTGCTATAGGCCAGACAGAGAGAGACAGAGAGACAGAATGCAAGAAACCATCCCCCTGAGGGGATGGCCATGCCGCAATCCCTTCTCCTCCATTCTCCTCTTGTGATCTTGGGCACTCACACGCACACATGCCCTGCATGAGTTTTTTTAAGCCACTGGATCCGGGACGCAAACCGCAGTCGACTATATGGGAGTCCAGCGACATAGCCATTATGCTAACTGCTGGTCCCCTCTCAACTTCCACTTCCTATGCATTGAATACCAATATCCCCTGAGTGAAAAAAGGGGCCCAGCCAAGATTCCTCAGTTAAGGAAAGCAAAGGCTGAGACAGAGCCAGGCCAAGGCAGGGCCAGCAGATGACATGGAGGTTAAGGCGGCTGGATGGTACATGGTGGACTGTGCCCTTCAAGTCCCAACCCAGCAGCTTGAATCACACCCTGCGAAGGCTTGCATGCACACATGCTCCAAGTCCCAGGGAATCAGAGAGGAAAATGGAGAAAGGATTGTGGTGTGGCCATAACCCTTGGAGAATTATTTCTCACTCCCCCCTTTTCTGACTCCCTCAAACTAGTGCACACACTGTATAGCAAACAAACAAGCCAGGTAGGTCATTGCACCAAGTGAGGGCCAGGACACAGACCACCAGCCTCAGCCACATCCAGACCTGGGAGCATCACCACTGGAGCTTGGCCCAATGATCAAAATGCATCACTGGTGGCCACGCATCCACTGGGTGAACCATTGGCCTTGGAGCAGCATGCTGGGGGCACCGCGAAACCTAGGGAGAGCAGAGGAGGTAGGAGAAGGGGAGGGTGGGAAGAGAAAGGGCGCGTCCCCTGCCACCCTCGCCACGCCCGCCCATCTGCTCCTCACCTTTCCCTTCTGACAGGTGGTAAACAAAGTAGCAGCTCTGGCGCCCAAAGGCGGTGGCAGCCAGCAGGAGCCCAGCGACAGGACTGGGCTCGAGGTCACACTACCCGCACCCCCAACCATGCCAGCTCTCACACCTGAGCTGAAAAACCACACACCAGATAGGGGGACTCTCTCCTGTCTCCAGGGAGATGGGGAGCGGGATCTGTCCCTGGTCACAGGGGACACCTGGGCACTCAGGGTCTGTAGGGAATGGGCGGAGGGGGGAAGATCTGGGAGTCTCTGGAGATCTGGGGAGAGGGAATCTGGTAGTACTTGAGCCATGTGGGGAAATGGGGTCTCTGAGGGAATTCCTGGGTAGCTGGGGTTGCCTAGGATATCTGGACAGGGAATGGGGGGGAGGGTCGGGGTCGGGTGGGCAGGCCTATTCTTTCAGGATATCTGGAGGTCCCGACTGTCCCCTAACAACCACGGATGCTACACTCTTAGGGGACAGTCGGGACCTCCAGAGAAATTCGTCGGGTGTTCAGATGCGTCCGGAACATTGCAGTGAATGGTTATCTCCAGGGACATCCTGGGGGGTACGCGGGGTCCACCGGCATACCCGCCGTGGTCGATGGTCGGGGAGTGGCAGGGGGGGGGGGCGGGGGGGGGGAACCACCGTGGGACCGGCCAGGGGTCTCTAAGTCTTCGGACGTCTGGAAACGTGAGGGTTCGCCGAGACTCAGGGCGGGCTGACGTGTGCCCCTTTCCTGCGCAGGCCGCAGCCTCCCTCTTCCCGCGAGCCCCAGCGCCCGGCAGCTCCTGGCGCGACAGGATTTGTGGGTGGCTGGCTTGCCGTAGTTGGTTACTCCCCTGGGTAGGGCCAAGGAGTGTGATTTGGAAAGGCGGTTTAGAAGGGGTCCTCAAGGCTGCGGGACCTCGAGGTTATCTGAACTATTGCTTTTGTATTGCTGCTCCAGGCGGGTGCCAGAGTACTAGGCCGGATTGTGATCTGGTCAGTGATGCTCTAAAGGTCATTTTTGAGGAGGCGGGGCCTGTGGTAGAGGCGGGCACTCACCAAGGGGGCTGGCTTGGAATGCTACTCGAGGAGGTGATGCTTATGAATGCATGGGCGGGGCTTGAAATGTCTGTATCCGGAGTTGAGGTTCAAAGGCTAACTAGAAAGCGAAGTTTGGAATGTTAAAGAGCCAAATCTTGGAGAAGCAACCTCCAGCGTGTGCCTAGGGTGGTATTAGCCAAAGGTGAGATGGTGTGGAAGATTATTCCAGCGAACAGGCCCAGGATTATTTATTAAGGCGCGGTGGGGACCGTCATTAATGTAGGCTGAACCTTTAGGGTTACAGTGGGGGTGGGGGAACAGTGCTGGGATAGGGAAAGGACGGTCCAGTCTGCGGTCCAGTCTGCGTGTGGGTTCTATAGAGCAAAGAGATGTGGTTAGAATGTTAACTCAGGGGCGGGGCCGTGGTGATTTCTGGAGAGTCCCTTGACGTTTTTTTTTTTTTTTTTGTTATTTAGATGTAAAATAATTAAATTGCAGTTATTTGACAAATAGATAAAAGGAATCAACACAATATTCTGTAGTTGGTTAGAATTGTTGATATATGTAAATGACAATTTATACATATATGTAAGATTATTATGAAAAAAAGGACTTTTTGGGTTAGTTTTTGTTTTAGCATAATAAATAAACTTACTTTCCCTTTTTTTGAGAGAGAGATTTTTGCTATAGGGCATATGTACTCACCAGAGAGACAGAGAGATACAGAGAGACAGAAAGCAAGAAATCACTCTCTGTCCCCATAGCCATACTACAATCTTTTCTCCTCCATTCTCCTCTCCTGATTTTGAGCACCCATGTGCCCAACATGAATTTCAAGATGCTGAGTCCATGGGACCAGCAGTTAGCGTAATGGCTGTGTCTCTGAACTCTCATGTGGCTGACTGCGGTTCTCCTCTCCGGATCTTGAGCACGCACGCACACTCACCTGGCATGAGTTTTAAGCCACCACGTCTGGGACGTGAACCGCGGTCAACTACATGGGAGTCCAGCGATGTAGCCATTAGGCTAACTGCAGGTCCCACAAGCAAACTTTAAAGTGTATTATTAGGAGATAATAAATCTTGTAGAAGCTTCAACCTCTGTAATATTGTCAGAGGTTAACAATGTTACAAATTCATAAACACTAAATTAATAGGAAAGAAGTTAAAAAAAAAAAACTCTTTCCAAATCTTTTAGAAGAGCATTGTGGTTTGTAATTAGCCTCAGAATTTATTTCTAAAGTGTGGGTGCTTTGATACTGTTCTAAGGAAGTTCTGGGAGAGGTAGTACCCTACTACTATCCATTTGAAGCATCTATTTTACCTTCTCCTCTTCTTCCGCTTTACTTGTCAGAATTTGAATTTGGGGGGCCAGCAGATGATGTAGCAGTTGTGTCACTGGACTCCCACATGGTCGTCCATGGTTCAAGTCCTAGACCCAGCGGCTTGAAAATCACACTGGATATACATGTGTGTGTGCCCAAGATCCCAGGAGGAGAATGGAGAAGGGATTATGGCATGGCCATCCCTGGGGGTGGGGGATGAGTTTTCGCTTTCCTTCTCATTGTCACTGTCTCTCTCTCTGGCAAGCGCACATGCCCTAAGGCAAAAACCTCTGAAAAATTTAATTTTTTATTTAGTCTCTGAATATTTCCAATTACTGACTCCACAGTCTCTATTGTTTTATCTGTCTCTTCCTACAATAATGCCAGACCTTCTTCATTAGCTTCATTGGTACAGTTCTGTACTCTTCATTTTCAGTAGACTTGATATATTAGTTATAGCTTTCAGGTTTTTTTAAGTTTTGTTTTCTTTTTTTTAAGAGGTTTTTGCTATAGGGCACATGCGCTCACCAGACAGACAGAGAGAGACAGAGAGACAGAAAGCGAGAAATCACCCCCCGAGGAGATGGCCATGCTGCAATCCCTTCTCCTCCATTCTCCTCTTGGGATCTTGGGCATGCCCGGCGTGAATTTTAAGCCACCAGGTACAGAACGTAAACCGCGGTCAACTACATGGGAGTCTAGTGACATAGCATTACACTAACTGCTGGTCTCATATCTTTCAGTATTTTTTTGGAGGGACTTTCATGATTTCACAGTTTTAGCAATCTTTTCTTCAGAAAGTTGAGATGATATTGCATTTGTTCTTTTTCTCCAGTACTGTTACTCAAGGTTGCTAGCATTGGTGATTCCATAATAGCTTGCAAATGCTTTCTGCTGCTCTTTGATACAGATTGCCATGTTTTTCTCTTCTTAGATGTTATCTTTTTAAACAGTATTTTTTTTCCTTTTTTTTTTTTTTTTTGGGGGGGTTTTTGCAATTGGGACCGGGCGCTTGCACAACAGACAGAGACAGAGAGACAGAAAGCGTGAAATCACCCCCCAGGGGGGATGGTCATGCTGCAGTCCCTTCTCCTGCATTCTCCTCTCAGGATCTTGGGCATGCACGCACACGCGCCCGGCGTGAGTTTAAGCCACCAGGTCCGGGACTCGAACCACGGTTGACTACGTGGGAGTCCAGCAACAAAGCCATTACGCTAACTGCTGGTCCGTTAAACAGTATTTTTTAAGAATTATTTTATTTGATTTTTTTTTATTGTAAGTGTTATTTAAATTTGACCAGAGAAAGAAAGTGAAAAAACAAGCTACCAGGTCCAGGATTTGAACCATGGTCAGCCATGTGGGAGTCCAGTACCTTAACTACCACGCCATCTGCCAGCCCCTTGAGTGTTATCTTTATCTGTCTTAGATTGGCATTATTTATTTATTTTAAGAGAGATTTTTCTATAGGGCACATGTGCTTGCCAGAGAGAAAGTAAGCAAGAGATCACCACCCTGAGGGGATGGCCATGCTGCAATCCCTTCTCTTCCACTCTCCTCCCGGGATTTTGGACATGCACACACACGTGTCCAACATGAGTTTTAAGCCATCGGGTCCGGGACTTGAACCACAGTTGACTACATGGGAGTCCAATGACATAACCATTATGCCATCTCTGGTCCCTTCTCTTCAGGTTTCTTTTCAACTCTTGACTTTTTCTTGGAAACATTTCCTTTACCAGGCATCTTGATCTAAATGGAACAATTCTAATAGTGATTTTTTTTAAATGGTAATTTCTCAATAAATCTTCTGAGAGCTGCCTTCAGAATAATTTGTGGCCCAACAATTGCCCTTAGTGTTTTCTTTTCTGATTCTAATCCCCTAGCAGTTATGCTGATAATGTCATTTTTAAAATAATTATCAAGGATAGTTGCCTGCCCCAAGACCAAGGCAAATACAAACATGTGAAAAACCTTGGGTACTTTTAGGGTGCTGTGGAAAGTTCAAGGAACTAGAGACTGCCTTAATTAACCTTGGGGGGGGGAGTGGGAATGTGTATGGGGGAGGTAGGTGAGAATCATTGGAGTTATAGGAAGGCAGTGGACAGGACTAGGCTGAAAATCCAGCACAAGTCATGAGTTAATATCTGGAATTGGGTAAGATTCCCTACTTTGGAACCAGGCAGCATGACTCTGCTAGTACCAGCTTTCTGGTGCTTTGTATCCAAAAATACCTTGCATTTTATCTCTTTGTAAAAAGCTTAGATACCCAAATATAAAGTAATATATTCATATTTTAAGAATCAGAACAACAACAAAAAGAAACCTCCCCCCAAAAAAATCAGAACCATGTAGTCTGTATTTCCCTACCTGTTCCTTCTGACTTTTAAAATTTGTTGAAATGTGCAGGCCCTGCCATCTAGTGATTAAGGGAGCTAGATCCCACATGACTAACTGAGGGTTTTTTTTTTTTTTTTCATTTTTTATTTTTGGAGAAGTTTTGGTATAGGGCGCGTGTGCTCACCAGAAGGACAGAGAGACAGAGAGACAGAAAGCGAGAAATCATCCTCCAGGGTGGATGACCATGCTGCAATCCCTTCTCCTCCATTCTCCTCTTGGGATCTTGGGCACACACGCACACATGCCCAGCGTGAGTTTAAGCCACCACGTCTAGGACCGAACCGCAGTCAACTACATGGGAGTCTAGCAACATAGCCATTATGCCAAGTGCTGGTCCCCCTGAGGTTTTTAATCCCTACCCCAATGCTTGAAAAACATGCCTAATTAGGAATGCTTCTCCTCTCTCACATTTCTTTGTCTCTCTCCCTCTGACAAGTGCATACACACCCTTTGGCAATAAAAAAAATGGAAAATAAATTGGGGGCCAGCTAGTGGCATGGTGGTTAAGGAGGCTGGATCCCACACGGCCAATGGCATGATTTGAGTCCTGGACCTAGGGATTTGAAAATTATGCCGAGCACATGTGACTGCATACCCAACATCCTGAAAGGAAAATGGAGAAGAGATGGTGGTATGGCCATTCCTCCCTGGGGGTGCTTTCTCACTTTACCCCTCTTTGTCTTTCTCTGGCAAGTGCATGTACCTTATAGAAAATTTTTTAAAAAAAGAAAAAAATATAAAACTCTTAGAAACATGATTTTTTTGAAAAACAGGTAGAAGATCATAAATAGTTAACTTATTACAACATTTTAATAATTTCTACATCTATATTAAGATTATATATATAAATATAGTTTACATATCACATAATTTGCCCATTTAAACTGTATGATTATATAGTAAATTTCTTTTTTTTTTAAGAATTATTTGGGACCAGCAGTTAGCATAATGGCTATGTCGCTGGACTCCCACGTAGTCGACCGTGGTTCACGTCCCGGACCCGGTGGCTTAAAACTCATGCCGGGCGTGTGTGCATGTGTGCCCAAGATCCTGAGAGGAGAATGGAGGAGAAGGGATTGTGGTGTGGCCATCTCCCCTGGGGGATGATTTCTCGCTTTCTGTCTCTCTGTCTCTCTCTGTCTGGCGAGCGCACACGCTCTATCGCAAAAATCTCTCCAAAAAAAAAAAGAATTATTCATTCCATTTTATTTATTCATTCATTTATTTTAATTTGACCAGAGAGAGACAGAGAGAGAGGGAAGGTGAGAAAGCAAGCCACCAGGTCTGAGACTTGAACCATGGTCAGCTAGTTGGGATTTTCCAGTGCCTTAACCACCATGCCACCTGTTGGTCCCCATGTTATAGTAAATTTCATATGGTAAGAATTTAGAATATTTTTCTTCCCCTAAAAAAGACCCCATAACCTTGGGACCAGCAGTTAGCGTAATGGCTATGTCGCTGGACTCCCACGTAGTCATCCG